TACCGATAACTGATAATTCTTCAGACTTGGAGGCCGATAGCCGATATGTATAGGCCGATAATAATAAATATTTTAAATTGTTATATTTTTATACAGCAAACTTCATAAAAGATTGAACTGCTCTTATGAACTGAATAGTCTATACTTGAAGCAAAAAAGATATGATTTCGAAATTGCAAGGTGTCAACATCGGATCGATAACGATAATCTTAAAAATAGCATTTATCGGACAATAACGATATGGGCGCCGATATATCGTGCATCCCTAGTTTTAATGGAAGTAAAACAAGAATTGCCTATTTGTTTCTATCAGTTGCAAGAACTGTAATTTGAGAAAGGAGAAACATTGTTAAAAATAAACATGCTAAAATGGAGTTATGGACAATGTATAAAAGAAACTGGAAAACTATATTAAAACTGTGGAACAATATTTTAGAATGGAAGAAAAAGAGACTGAATTTTACAAAACGTTTATGTTGAATACTCCTTATATTACGTACTCACTAGATGGTTTGAAAATAGATTTGCCAGAATGATTATGCTTGTTGTTTTCCTGTTTTGAAACCAACATAATGTCATAAGGAATGTTTGTAAATGATATTTTTATATGCTTCTGAACTGATGTTTTGAAAAAAAAAAAACATATACTTGGATCGATACAGAGAAGATTAGCATGGCCCCTGCGCAAAGGAACCTGATGGATCTTCTCTGTCCCCACCCTGCGGCCCCCAGCGATCCTCTCGACGTCACATGGCCTTGGACTGCAGGGTAGTGACCCCTGAACCCCATTGGGGTCACCTGTGGCCTTGAAGGGTGCTCATGCTTGCTGAAATTAAAGAAATGCCCAATATGGTAAAAAATCAAAGGCGGGCCCAGGGGCGGGCTGGCAGGCTACCTGAAACTGGCATAACAAGTAGCCATGTGCTTTCTGGGGTATGACAGGTGCATATTAAGTAGCCATGTGGACAGCTGTCATTGTATAGCAGGCAATCAAGAATGTGTATTACAATGTAACTGAATAATTTGAAAAAGAAAATTCATTTTAAAGGAGTTACATTTAATAATAAAAAAAGTATATTTTGTAATAAATGTATTCAAATATCTTTAAATATTGTATGTTTATTTACAACATAGCTAGCTAAAATGTTTCTATAATTATGACTTATATTTTATATTTTTTTAAGTAATAAAATATTTTAATAGTTCAATAATAAAACATACTGAAATATTGACTTTTAAATTGAATATTGTATAGGGTAACTGATGTTAAATTAAAACATTCAGTTTAAGGTTACCTAACATTTAGGTAACTTATTTATTAATATTGAATAGCATGTAATAAAATATTTAAACAAAATGATCATAGTACCTAAAAATATTAGGTTATAGGATATAAAAATATATATCTATAATATATATAATAATTAAAATATATTATAATTAAAAGAGTCTAAAATATAAATATTAGGCATTAATATTTAAATAGGTTTACTATTACTTTTAAGTTTAATAAATTAAGAATATAATTAAATATATTTTAAAGTTGTATTTTATTTACTTTAATTTTCACAGTTACATTAACATATACACATAATTTTTAGGTGTTACTGCATTTATATTGAACATTTACTTAAGTTTAATTTACAATATAATTTTATACCACAATTGTTTTTTACTGTTAGGTAAACTCTATTTTTTATAACTTGTTTATCAATAAAATACAGGACCCTTAAATTACACAATGATAATGTTAAAGCCATCACATGAATATGTGTACGCAGTGTATTTTTGGAAGTTTTATTTTATTAAACAAGTTCTTTAACTCTTGTTTGCAATAAACGAATAGAAAAAAATTATTTAAAGTGTAATATAAATTAAGTTATTTGAGTCACAACAGATAACCCACTCTTGGGATACTGTAGCTACTGAACAAATATCTTATAAAAAAAAGAAAAGAAAAAAAGCTGAAACATACTCAGAGATTAGAAAAAGTTTATTTACACAAAATATATAACTATTTATACTTTTAACATATTAGGGCTGTACAATATAGTGAAATATTAATTTTGTTATCACAACAGTATATGGGATATAAAAATCACAAACGTATGATAAATTATTATTTTATAAACTACCTTCCCAGTAGTTGCTGCTCAGCTATTTGCTTGAGCAGCTCAAAGCTTAACCCAGAGCTAAAAATCAACACTAACTGCAAAAGTTAAGAAAAAAGAAAATGACAACAGCCAATCACCTTGACAGTGTTTTTAGACTTAAAATTTTTAGAATTAGGAGTTAAATTGCATCTAAAAATGATCTTTTATCCGTTTAATATTAAGTAAATTATTTATTAACACACACACAAAAAGCTGCATTTTTCTAGGGAAATGTTATTTTAGAAGTAATCAAATTTTTCTAAGGTATCATAAAGCCCTAAAACATATACAAGTATATATATATATATATATATATATATATATATATATATATATATATATATATATATATATATATATATATATATATATATATATATATATATATATATATATATATATATATATATATATATATATATATATATATATATATATATATTTATTTATTTTTTATTTTTATTTATTTTTTTAAACAAAATAAACATTTAGAACAAATGTACAAAATTGGTCATTTTTATAGTCTATTTTGTCTCTCCTTTTTTAACTTCCTCCATCCACTGCGCCACAGTTTTCCCAGAAGCCTTTGCACAAAAGTGGACGCCTCTGAACTGGCTATGGCCAAATTCTTTAGTTTTTGGCTGGCCACACTTTTGGCATAGGAACTGCTGAGGTGCTTGTCTTTTTCGGGGAGTCAAACCTTGAGCTGCTGCTGCAGCGGCTGCCTCCGCCAACTTTTTCCGCCGCCACGCTGTGGTCTTTGGCACCCTCTTTTCATCTGGCGCAGCAACTGGTGCGAGTACTCCAACAACAGTAACAGGCGCAGCACCAGCAGGAACAGAAAGAGGCACAGCACCAGCAGGAACAGGAACAGGTGCAGCACCAGCAGGAACAGGTGCAGCACCAGCAGGAACAGGTGCAGCACCAGCAGGAAAAGCAACAGTCTTAGCAAAGCCTGCAGAAGATGATTCAAGTGCTGCGGTAAATGCAAGTGCTGCAAAAGGTGCTGATGTGGAGGCAGGTGTGAGGTAAGTGGCTGTGCCAGGAGAGACATGAGGACCAGGTTTGACAGATGCTGCCACTGTGCCCACAGGAGGCGGTCGGCCTCGAGAACGCGGTGCTGCCTGTCCAGACGCATCCTGCGGTATTGCAGACTCGAAACACGAGTGTCCGTGCTGGACTGCTTCCGGCAGTTTTTGTAGCACCGGTGGGAGCGGTACAGGGGCCACCAGAGGAGCAGAGAACGCCTCGATGTCCTGCTGCAAAACCTCCCTCTCTTGCGTCTTTGTTCGTGCGTTGAACCTATGAACAGAAAAGACAATAGTTAGTATAGGTGTCAAATTATTTTGAATATGAAAGGAGACACAAACAAGAACAATAAATACTGAACCTACCACTGTGAGATGGTAAGCTGGTTCAGCTCAAACAGTTTTAATTTAGTTTGAGCCATGATTCCGGGGCTGCCCAAGACTACATCACGGATCTTCCTGTAGTCCCTTAGAATGGCAGCCCATCGGTTCACACGAACTCCGGAGATGGTTTGCCCGGCAGGGTGGATTCTGCAGAGAGCCAGGCAGATAGCTTCCACTAGACGGCTTGCACTGGGCCACTGTGCAGGTCCACCTTCACCAAGGAAGCATCTGTGAAATAAAAAGGGACATACCATAAGACACATATCAGTCAACCACATCAATAACGCTGGTTCCAAGACTTGCTATGAATAGAAAAAAAAAAAACAGAATACAAAAAAAGCTACCTCTTTAGACTATCTGTGCCAGGGGTTACATTGGTCTTCGAATGGCTGACCTTAAAGCGACCCTTCAGCAGTTTGTCACGGTGGCGGGGGGGATAGATGAGAGGTCCCTTGTCATGATCTGCTAGGTGGTTCCACAGCATGACAATCTTATCTACCATACTCTGCGTGACAAACCCCTGATGCCGCAGGTCAACCAGACAGTCAGCCAGTCTAATGACATGGTCATATCCAGGTTGGCCATCTGGTCCCACACTCTCCATCTGTACATGAAAACAAACAAACAAATTAATAAATAAATAAATGTACCAATATGAAATGACTTTTTATTAAATTTTACTCAAAGTTAGCCATTCCTTTGTTGTAAAATTAAATATCAGAATCATCACGTATCATGACATCACAGTGTACACAGTGTGTTTGAGTGTTCATTGACCTGGCTCTGACTGGACGACGCAGGAGAGGAAGACACAGCTGCTGGGTCTGTCTGGGATGAGGGCTGAGAGGGGTTTTGGAGGTTGCCCTCAAGCTCCATAAATTCAGTGGGCTCGTCGAGGTATGCATCCTCAAACCCCTCATCGCCCTCCAGATCAGCCAGTAGGTCTTCATCCTGAAGGTCATCGGGAACATCAGGATCTTTAGCCAGGTCTTCCTCTAGAGCTCTATTGGTCTGAGAATACAAGTATTCCACACCAATAAGCTCTCCTGTAGAAATACAGAGTTTATTGCATAAATGCTTTAAATAATGAAATGGCTGGAAAACAGCTAAAATAAAATGTCTGCATTAATGCAATACCTGTATATTCACCGGGGCTGGTGTAATCCTGCACCAGTTTCTGTCCCAGGAGCTGCTGGCTCAGTATATTGCAGTACTGCAGCAGCTGGCCACCGTAGCAGATGTTCTCTCTGCGGGCACCCTCTACTGCAGCGACCCCACGTGCCTCATTCCACTGCACCAGGCCTTCCAGCAGGTACATTTGAAATGCAAAGCATTTGCACTTGTACCTAAAAACAAATTTAGAAATGATTGTAAAATCATAGTACAAACACACAAATAAACAACAAGTGGCATTCTTTGGGTAATGTTAACCTGGGACGAAGCGATTTAGGTGCAGGTGGAATGACTCCAGAGATGTGGAGCCACGTGCACAGCGATACACTGGCAGAATGACCCCCTCCCTGGTCACCTGCCCTGTTTTCCTGTACAGCTGTACACCTGGCGGGTCCTGGATGCAATGAACGTGGCGCTGCTGGGTCTGCCAGATCTCTTGCATCCTCTCCTGGTCCAGAAGTCTAATCCCCATGGTGTCAGTGGCCCCCATGAAGTCTTGTAGCAGCTTCTCAAGAAGCTGCATGGTCTCCTGGGCCCCTCGAGTGCGGCGGGGGCAATGCTTTGCCAGTTCTTTGGCAGTGGGCTGGCAGCCTGTCAACCGCTTGGCCTCCATTAGCCTCTCCACATCTGAAGCATCCCATTCAAAGATGCAAGCAGTGAGGCGCTTCATGAAGGGTGCATAAAGCGGGTGGCTGTCTGTGGTCACTCCAACGGTAAACCGCCGCATGAAGTGCCACACATCCAGCCTGACAATGAGCTGGTCCCACTCGCTAAACATTGCAGCCGCCTTTCCTTTCCCAGTGGCAGAGCAACAGTCCCGGTCCACATAGAGAAGTTGGGGAGGAACTTCTCCAGCTCTCCGGTAGCGCTCCACGAGTCCAGAGCACATGGGAAGCAGGCCATCACCCTCTGCCTCAGTGAGGACACACATGAGAACCTGGCCAAACTCGTTGCCCACATCTGTGACCCATGCTGCAGTGCCAGCAGCCTCATCAGCCAGTTTCTTAGTGACCTAATACAGGATGAAATATAGTAATATTATAGAAGACCTGTTGTTTTACGGTTGGAAAATAACATATTGTGACAAATAAATTAAATAACAAAACAGTAATGTGGCAATGATGTTATCAGTGTGTGTATTTTTACCTTTTTAGTGGAATCCATCTTTAGGATGGTTCCATAGATGGAGGTCACCCTAGCCTTTAGTTCAGGCAGCCGTGTCAGTACATCTTTAGCATACACTGACAGCAGCCATGACGGACAAGGCACAGGCACCATCTGAGGTAGCCGGGCAGCGAGACTGCTGGGATCTGTGGTGCAGTCTGGGAACTTCCCAACCACAGAGAGATAATGGGTTGTCTGGGCAATCCATTGCTCTCTGTGCCTGACACACAGGCTTCGGTAGGCAGACGTTGCACTGTTCACAATCTCCTTATCACAGGACAGCCTATATAATAAAAAATACACACAAAAAGGCAGCTAAATATCAGACTAATCAGAACAGACATTTTTCCATGTTAAAACTAGTGCTGTCAAACAAATAATCTTGTTTAGTTAGTATTTATTTAATATATTATATGCATTTCATTTATTGTATGTGTGTGTGGAGGTGAAATATATATATATAAAATCATAATAAATGTGCCAACCTGTAGGTCAAGACTGCAGGAAACATTTCCCTGTGGACAGGATCAAGCTGGCTAAGAATATCTTGAGACCAGGCTGCTAGCTTTTTTTTGCAGGACCTGCATTCAAGATATTCTGTAGCCATGTAGTACCAGCCACTGACGTCCAAGACTTTCCTGACCGTCCTGTACAGTCCACACGCCGTCATCGGGAAACCAAGACGCCGACAGTTAGGCTGTGAACACAGCAGCCGGTATGCCCACAAGCGATAAGGGACCCACAGGAACAGCCTTGCATGATAAAAGGCATCTGGTGATGAAGGAGGTTGAGAATACAAAGGACGGGGCCCAGGAGGATGCCACCAGAGACGCAAGTTTTTAGTCAGCGCCAGTCTGCCAGACTTGTCTCTGGTGAAAAGAGCCTTGCTGACCCACAAATGCTGCTCCTTGGGAAGTGTCTGTTTCCAGCCTTCTGGCAGCAGCAGCTGTAAGGGAAAGGAAAAACAGAAATCATGTACATGTCTACTTTTTTGGTGTCTGATTTTTGACTAGTCATTTTACTTACTTCCTCTGTGGGCAGAGGCTGCTTTTCTGGCGCAGCAGCTTTCGACGCAGAGGGCACAGGTTCAGGCCGGACGGGTGGTTCAGGAGCCAAGTCAGCTACAGTGCATGGCACAAAAAAAAAGGAAATGAGATACATAGAATTGGCACAATCTCTCATAGTAATACTTCTAACAGAATAAAAAATAATAATAATTTACTACTGCTAGATATTAGTACTACAATTAAGCATTAGTAACATGTTAACATTAGTTGTTGCAATGTATGTGATGATTAAAATTATTGTAATGAGATGAAGACGAGCATAAATATGTGATGATAAAAAGTTAGTTTAATGTTGAGCGGGATGAAAAATGGCGGCGGTCGGTGGTAAAAAAAAAGCAATTTGTGAGGAAAAAAGCCAGGTTAGCTACCGATGATCAGAAGGTGTAGTACACCTCCTACCTTACTGCTTCCAAAACCATCCAGCTGAAAGCTGCTAATACATAATAACAAACCAGGTTATATAACGTACAATAGCCCAGTAGGGCATATAAATGTACAATAACACAGTATTCTTAAATTAAAGGGCAAATTTAAACCCACGTAATTCCCACCTGAAACATCCATGTGTGACACTATGGCAAGCAGAGCTTCATCAGATGGTTCTTCCTCAGGAGCTGAGCTGGAGGCAGCAACTGTTAACATAAGGATAAACAGCATTAAGTCATCTTTATTTAAATTGTGCTTAACACAATAAAAATTGTTTTCAAAGCACTTTACAGTTTGCAAACATTCTGGAAAAATGACAAAATCACTTTAAAGCAAGGTCAAGTCATTACTGTTCAGTGCTGTTTCAAAAGCTGCGTTAAGTTTATACAGCAATTATAATAAAAACAAAATGAAGTCACGTAAAATTCATGCCTGGAGGTGCTGATCCTGGCAGCATCTCAGCATCTCTTCTCCTTATATATTTCTGGAAAAGTTCCATCTTTGTGCCAGGTCTGGAACTCTGCCTTTTTACCCACTTGACAAATCTGAAAATAGAGAGAACACCTTTGAAAAACACTACACTTGGAGAGACAAACACTATACTGTATGTTACTGTCTGAATCCTCTGTAACAGATGTCAACCCATACCCTTTTCTGTCACGGTCCGTTGCCTCATAAAGGTCCTTGAAGGACATGGCAGCAAAGTTGCCAAAACCAACAAGAACCTGGTCTTCCTGGGCTGGTGTGCCATGGCCCTCTCTGACACGGCGCTCGCTGATGGCAGCCATCATGACAGGAAACAAGCCAGCATACCGCAGCAATGCGTCTTTGTTTCCCATGATGAATGACTGGTTGGTGTCACCAGCCTCACGCTCCCGCTGATGCACGGCCAGCACCATGGCTGCATAATTAACATCGTTGGAAAGCAACCATTTAAAGGTTTTACCCCGGTACTGGCCGAACTGCAGGGCGCTTTCGCTGAGCACGAGCTGGTGACAAGACGAGTCACCACCCGCTGCTGCCACGCGAGCGATAGCCTCCTCCTTGACCCTTGCCGCAGGCCATGAACGGCCCGGAGTGGGATTTTTTCTGTAGGCAGCAGCAAGAGCTACTGCCTCAGGTGATGGTTTAAGGGTCAGCTCACCGGTGGCCTCCCTGCGAAACTGGGCACTGTAGTCCATCTACAACAGACACACACACACAAAAAATTTAACTCAAAAAGCTGAATCACCATTTCATCCATCAGCCTGCGACTGCCAAGCACCAGATCCCGGATGTGGTGGTAATTGGTCAGAATTTTAGACCACCTGGGGGTGCAAACACCAGCCTTCTTCGAAGTGGACTTGGGTACGGCAAACAGCTTTGTACAAATGGCCTCAACCAAGCAGCTGGTGCTAGGCCACTGTGCTGGACCCCCAGGATGTCCAATCAGACAGTGTTTGACGCTCTCTCCACACCTGGAGTGACTCCGGAGTGCTTCGGTGCCTTGAAGCGCCCATGTGTCAGCTGAGGCTGATGTCGAGGCTGGTAGTTGATGCACTGTTTATCAACATCCAGGAGAGCTGTCCACAGCTGGATGGCCTCTGTCACCTGCAGGTCAGTGAGGTAAGGAGCCTCACGAAGATCTAACAAGTAAGCAGCCAGATCCTGGACCTTGTCCCACCCAGCAATGCCATCAGGTCCAATGACTACTCCATGGTAAATACAAAATAAATTTAGTATATGTGGAATAAAAAAAGACTAAATCAAATAAAGTTCTTAATGTGTCTTACCTGAGCCTCAACAGAGAGACTGTCTCCAGAGTTGGATAGCTGTGACGGCAATGAGGGGGCTGGTCTAGGAAGCTGTCCTTCTCCACCAGCAGATGTGGACGGCTCAGCCAGTGATGCTGGGGACTGAGGCAGAGGCGAAGATGAGGGGCTGTTTCTGAGATCACGGCAGGGGTCATCCTCATACAGCACTGGAACTGTGATGTCCTCCATGATCTCCTCCTCAAACCCCTCATCTTGTAGATCCTCGTCATCTACTTCCTCCACCAGCCTGTCTTCCTCCTCTGGGTTCTGGAGCACCGGAGTCAGGGTTTTGCCGGTCTGGCTGTAAAGGTGCTCCATTCCCAGCAATTCACCTTAAAAAAATAAAACAATAAAAAAACATATATTAAATAAAACTAATAATAAAATAAACATTTAAATTACCATTTTGTGTAGTACATTAAAAGCTTAATGAATAACTTCCATAACAACTAATTAATGGATTTCTTGCCTGTATATGCTCCAGGAGGGTGATAGCGGTTATCCCAAGGCTTGCGTCCTGAGACATATCTTTTGGTGGACAATGAGCATTGTGTTTTTCCTCTCTCTCTCCCTGCAGGTAACTGTGTCCACCTGGTAGCAATCATTGGATCTTTCTAGAGAGGAGAGAGAGTATTTAACCTGAGCTGCACTTCAAACCAGTGTTGGTGGTGTCAAGTGCAGTGGCTGAGCTTTTCTCCAAATTCAGACCTGTTGTTTGTGAGAGCTTTACAGATATGATTTGGCTTAATAAGCTACTGTGTGGTGAAGATATTGGAGTCAGACTTCTAATTTCTATGATCTTCTTGATAACATCTAATAATTCACCTAAAGAGAAGTGAGTCTGGTTGATTTGTTTGTTTGTTTATTTTGAGGGTTAAGTAGGAAGGTGGGTGCCATTTTGTTTTGAAATCAGTTTTCCCCTGCTTTTGTTTAGAAAAAGGAGTTAGTTTGTTTATGTATTTTTGTTTCTTTTATTTCAGATTAGCAAGAGAATATATTAGGGGTTAGCTTGTTTTTGTTTGTTGTTTTGGCCTTGCCCCGTTCTGAATTAAAACCCTGTTTTTCTTTGTTATATTATGATATATGTAAATAAACTTCTCTTTTTCTTGATTTGATCTTGTGTCTAAGTTTTTTAGCCATTCTGTTTGAGGATATGAGTTCTCTCTCTTATTTTTCCAGCCATTGCACATCATCCACCACCAATCATTTATTTTCTGTTGCGGTCACATCCCTAGACTCAAAAAGACCGTAACAGGCTCTAAACGCGTATGATTGGCCCGTGATTAACGAGTGACACAGACCCGATAGAGGACTCGAGAGATGAACGGATCAATTCTTTTTCCGGCTCTAAATGCGTATGATTGGCCCATGATGAACGAGTGACTCAGACCCGATAGAGGACTCAAGAGATGAACGGATCAATTCTTTTTCCAGCTCTAAACGCGTATGATTGGCCCGTGAGGAACGAATGACTCAAACCCGATAGAGGACTCGAGAGATGAACGGATCAATTCTTTTTTTGGCTCTAAACGCGTATTATTGGCCCGTGAGGAAGGAATGACTCAGACCCGATAGAGGACTCGAGAGATGAACGGATCAAATATTTTTCCTGCTCTAAACGCGTATGATTGGCCCGTAATAAACGAGTGACTCAGACCCGATAGAGGACTCGAGAGGTGAACGGATCAAATCTTTTTCGGCTCTAAACGCATATGATTGGTTTCTGCCTTTCCGCGATGAACGACACGAAATGTGATGAAGACTTGAAATAACGATACCACCTGCACAAATGTACGCACGCGCAAATCAACAAATCACTCCCTAAGAGGACTTATAGTTCCCAAATCATATTGAAGATTCGTTTAAAATGAACGAAATGTTCATGATCGACCCATTACTAAACCTGGTTAGATACCTGCTCCAGTCGGAGATTGAACTTTGTGATCTACCCAAAGTGTTATTTATGGACATATTTCTTGAACCAGTACAATTATATATGCATTGAGTAGTTTCTGGTGGGCAAAAAATACAAAATATAACCTTAATTTCGCTTCTTTCTTTCTCAATTTCTCAAATTTTCTTATTTTTCTTGTGCTTTTTTCTTCCCCTTCCAAAACAGACTATTGTTCCCCAGCTTTAGCGGAGTCGGTAGAGGGTCCAGGGTTCAAGTCTGTGTTCGGGCATGAGAGACTCTTTGTGGAGCCACAGCTTTTGCCGTTGAGCTATCGCTTGCTGAAAGTTTCATCTGAATGCACAACACGTGTACTAGGCATGAGGACATGGGAGAACAGTCTTGTAGTCATGGCTGCGTGGTTAAGGTGATCGACTAGAAATCGGTTGGGGTATTCTCCCGCAGGTTCAAGTCCTGCTAACTATACCCACATCCTGTTCCTTTTTAAAATTGCAGCAGCCATCAATGTTTGCATTTCCATTGTTTCTTGGGAAAAGCGTTGTGCTGGTAGGAGGAGAAAAACAACTGTGTGTTCTCACTGAAGAGAAAGGGGCATATCACATGAAGGAACATACCACACAAGAGCCACAGCAGCAATCCTGTAGCTCGCTGTGATCGTATAGTGCTTAGTGTTCTGCATTGTGGCCACAGCAACCCTGGTTCAAATACGTGTCATGGCATGTTTTTCAAGGCGACATTAGTGTTGCACTCTGTGTTGCCATCCATAATCTCCAGCCTCCTTTTAGTGCAGGCTGTGCTAATGGCACATCCTGAATGTTTACGTTTCCTAAAGTGTGGAAGACTAGGGATTCGATATAAGAGAAATAGGATCTTTGATGGCAGCATGCTGTGTAGATAACTACTGATCAAGTCATGCTTCTAAGGTATGGAAGGAATCTTTTCAATTGTTGAGTGTCCATTCATTGCCACAACAGCAGAAAGACCTTCTGCAGTTATCATTGATCTCTTTAATGTCTCCTACATGACATGGAGTCCAAACTATTGTGTTGTACTGATGTCTACACTTACAACAACCATAAACCCAACCTCAAAGTAACCTGTCGTGTTTTAGCAACATCCACACCAACCATAAGCTTAAAACCCCATCTCACGGTAAACTTTAGTGTACTGTAAAGGTCTGCGCCGACCACAGCCCAA